TCTGTAGGCTTCCCTGTTTCAGAGAATGAGCCTGCATGCTGCTTTCTTCCCCTGGGTTCCTACATCAATTGTTCCTACTTCCTTGGGTGTGAGACAGAGACACACACAGAATGTGTTGACACTGTGATGCTGGCAGGCAGAGAAGCTACTCAGTTTTAACGTGGGCAGAGAGGCCCCTGGATCTCCTCCAACCCACTCCTTTCCCCTCCCAATGCAGTGACACTCTGGTGCCCGCTGGCAGATGGTGACTTCCCTTCACCCGTAACCGATGCCTTGTGAATTCTTTTTCCTTTTCAGAGCTACTCTGTGCTAATTGTTCCTGACTGTCAGCACAGGCGCATCAGCTCCATCCTAACAAACGACGTTTAGGTAAAACTGTGTAGGCACCTTCTGCTTCTCCGCTTTGTTGTTTCTGCAATCGTGCTGCTGTTATTACAGCACGTACCCAGAGCAACCTCAGATCATTTCAGGAGGCAGACCGAGGAACCACAGTCACCCTCTTTATGTGGTTTGACTTTTAAGAAGCCATTACTATACCTCGTGGCTTCTGTTGATGTTGGAAGAAGTTGACAAAGGATTGCAGGGACTAAAAACCTCCCTTAATTTGAGAGCTGATAAGCCTGTCAGAGAACAAGATCTCGCTTTTCCTGTGCTGAGTCTTGTGCTTCCAGCTCCCTCCCCATCTACTGTTACAGCTGGACTGTGTCGAGGAGGTTGAGGCTCTTCAGACTGAGATTTCTGCTCTTGGTGTTTCACGAGAAATTGAGGTTCGCCGGTGATTGTTTCATCTTCCATCATACTTGGTGTAGAGCCCTGGGCCTGAGACACACATATTAGCAAAGCAGGGTCTTGTCTGCCCAGCAGAGGAAGCAGCCTAGTGTAGACTGAAGTTCAGACCCAAAGAAGAATAGAAAAAATAGCGATGGAAGAGGGTAAAATCAGGAATTAAATCATAAAATTCTGCACTGCTGCTTTAATAGATGACTTGGATTTTATAACTAGGTAATAAGGAATAAAAACAAGGCTTGAGGTGGTTTCTTAACACCTGCTTGCATTGGCCCGAGTGGTAGTGTTCTTAACAGCTGTTGATCCGTGTGAGGGACAAAGCTTGTCTCCGAGGAGTTCTGTTGCCAATTCTATCTGTGTTATCCAGCTGTCACACCAGGCCCTGTCTCTCAGCCACCTCCTGCCAGCATCTACCTCCAGCCCTGTCACCCACCTGAGTGAGGAGAAAGGGAGCGTGAAATTCAAAGCATCCATTTTTTTATCTATAAAAAGCAGGGAGGCCAATGGGACTGGACCCAAGAGCTCGTTGGCAACCTGTGTCTGCCTTCCTTGGTTCCAGACCCAGGAGGAGAGGAAGCTGGCTTCTCAAACCCAGAGTTGGAGGGCATTATAGACTTTTTCAGGAGCATTCTGGGCTGAGAGTTGAGCCCCTAACTAGGAGTGGCTTAAGCTAGTCCCTTACATCCTCATTTCTTTCACCCTCCACCTCCAAAGGGTTCTTCCTTCTGGTTACCTCCTAGAGGACTCAACCTGGTTCTACCTTCCATGGATTCACCACAGTGGTTATGAGCTTGGAGCCAGACATTTACTAGCTGGGTCACTTGAGCAAGGTTCTTAACTCCCTGGGCCTCAGTTTCCTCCTCGGTAAATAGGAATAAGAACACTAACTTCTTGGGGTGAAAGATGATCTAGATTAGATCCTTGGTGTGGTATCTGGCACACGGTGCTCCGTAAATGGGAGCCATCCTCAGTACTATTATCCTCAGCCTCCCCCGTTTCTGGGTAGAGTGTCTAGAGCTTCTGTTGGTGATTTATGGCAGTTTTATTCATCCTACTGGCATTCTGCAGTTGCAGCTAGAACACTGACATGATGATGGGTCAGATCTGGTCGTCAAAGCTCCACCAGCTTCTGCTATGTGCTTCCCTCTTAGCTAAATGTTAATTGCTCAGGCACACCCCGTTCCTTGGCTCGGGTGTCCCAGCCGTGGGAATATGGCTCAGCTGTCGTCTTAAGCCCCTCCAGAAAAACAAAAAGGCGAGAGAGCTTGGTGGCAGTGCACCATCATTTGGACTTGGATATTTCTTGATTTCCTGGCGTGCCTACTTAGACGTAGCAGTATGGAATGCAATTTCTGCTTGGTGGGAGGCTAGATCTTGGCAACACTTTCCTAGTCACAGGTTGAACACAAGAAGCCAGCCGCACATTCATGCCTTAGTGACGCTGGCAAGGGCTGGTATTTTGCTCCCTTACCTGCTAGAGCAACAGTTTAGGGAGAGCGGGAGCATCACAGCACTAACAGGCAGGAGGTGGCCCAGCGTCGGAGCTTCGCAGAGTGATGGGCAGTGCAACCCAGAGACGACCTCCGCTCTGAGCTTCAAGCCGCCAACTGGCTGTTTGCCTCACCGACTTACGTGCTTCATTATCCCTTCCGTAGATGTGTTCTCTTGGTCAGCATTTATTGAGGGCCTGCGATGGATAGGCCAGGCACTGTTTGGGATATCTGTAGACTGTATTGTCTTTCATCCTGGAAAAAATTTCCGTGAAGCAGCCCTTCTCTACATTTTATGGTGGAAACTGAAATTCCCAGTGGTTCAGTGCCTTGCCCAAGGTCACACAGGTATGTGTCAGAACCAGAATTTTAATTTGAGCCTTTAACTCTGAGTCTGGTTTCTGTGCTTTCAATGAGACTTTAAAATAAATGCCAATGCCCAGGCCTCAGGGGAGGTGATTCAAGGGTGAAGGAGTCTTATAGTCAGACTCCCAAGTTCACTTTTCATCCTGCTATCCACGTGCAGGAACCAACTAGCAGCACCAAGGCCTGGTTTGTTTGTTTTTATTGAAATATAATTGACATGTAACATTAGTTTCAGGTGTTCAACATAATTATTCAATATTTCAATTGACCCATCACTGTACATATTTACCAAAATATTTTTTGCTTCTGATGAAAGCTTTTGAGATCTACTCTTTTAGCAACTTTCAAATATATAGTATGGTTTTATTACTGTAGTCGCCATGCTGTACATTACATCCCCAGGACATACTTATCTTGGTTTGTTTTTTTTTTTAAGTGGTGATTTGCCTGGTCAGGAATTCAGGCACATTCCTTTCCCCGGTGAACTCAAGCCAGCTGGGAGTAGAGGGCTTGCTTGACTGATCCACCCAACTTCGGGCAGAGAAAGGGGAAGCAAGAGCAGAGATGGCTGGGTCTGCTCCCACGTGAAGCTGCACAGTGAGGGCTGTAGGCCCTGCACTGAGGTAGGTGGTCCATAGGAGCTGAAGTGTTTGGGACGGGCCCTGGTGCATGGCCCACTAGATGTCAGTCTCTGCAGTTTCACCCATGTGGTAAATTAGCCCCATGGGGAGGGGTAAGGGGGGTCTACATGAGGAGTGGTCACCCCAATATACCATCCCCTGGGGGCTAAGGAGGGGATGTAGGGCTGGAGGAGAAGGCTGTTCCACTCTAGAAGCCCCTGGTCAATCAGAAATTGATGGATTCTCCCAGGCTGGGTTGGGTACAAACTTTCCTGGATGTGAAGTCCAGCTAGACTGACTTTAGCTACCAAATGGGAGGGTAAAGTAAGCAGTCATGTGCTGTTACTTCGACCAACACCCAGTCTGGCAGTTGGCCTGAGCGAGGGCTAGGTATGAACCAAAGTAGCTTGATGCACTTGTCCTGGGATTCCACCCATGGTGCCGAGCTGGCCTCTGGGCTGGTATGCTGTGATTTACCAAAGGTCCTTGAGGAAATCAGGGCTCCATGCAGTCCTGCAGCCCTCCTAGGGGAAGTGAAGGTGTCCCTCGAGGATATTTCAGCTGACTTGGTGGCCACGGCATCAGCGGAGATGGAAGCCTAGGATGCAGATGCTCCTTGCTCGCTCCCACCAGATAAACACTGGCTCCTGAGCTTACCAGGCACCTAGAGGTGGGAACTGCCTGGTGCACCACCCAGGTCTAGCAGGTCACCAGCAAGAATTGCTGACCTGGGAGAATAGGCCGAAATGACTGACTTCCCAGTTTTACTGGTGAGGAAGGACAAATTCATTAGCAGCTTGAGCAGAAGACTCCCTTGTAGAGTTGAGGGAAGACGGTCAATGCGTTGGAACAAGTGTGGGATCTGTGGAGTTGGCCAGACCCAGAGCTGAGTTCTGGCTCTGCCTCTAACAGATGAGATTAGCCTCTCCGCTTGCTTCCTTATCTCTGAAATGGTCATAGGCACGGGCTATTGAAAGAGTTCATCAAGATTATGCCTGTAATGCACTTAGCAGGGAGCTGGAAACAGTGCTTATTAGAAACGTTAGTTGTTGGTTGCACATAATCTTGTGGCAGAGGGGCTGACTGGAATTCCAAGGTGGAGGTGGACAAGAGAGAAAGATGTGTTATGTGGAGGAGAGGAGGAAGTGGCGCAGACAGCTGGGGTTTCAGAGGTGCGTCCCCTGGCTGGTTTCATGAAGTTGGGCCTGAGCCTGGGGTGGGGCATGTGGTAGAAACCAATGGCTGCTGCAGCATGGACAGAAGCAGCTCTGTTTAGCATCCTGAGGCCAAAGAGGCTTTTACACGCTGCAGACCACAGGGGGTACCCCAGTGCGTGGGAGACCTTCAGGAGGAGCAAATGGGTAACTGCCATCCTGTGGTGGGGGGCGGCGGGGTAAGAGTTGGGGCAGGGCATAGGACAGAGTGTGGACCAATAGGAAGAAGGGTGGGGCACTATGTGGTGTTGGCTGGGCCAATATGGGCTCCTCAGAGACCCAGAAGCCCCACAGTTGCTGGTGAAGGATCATACATTCCATTCATCCACAAATATTTTAAGCATGTACCATGTGCCAAGTTCTGTGCCAGTTTAACAAAGGTATTACTGTTCCTGTGGAATGCATGTCCCCATGTAGAAGTGATCACACTGACTTCACAGGCTTGCTGGGGGAAAGGGGTTTCCATGTTTCCTTTCCTAGATCAGTGAGCCAGGTCCCAGCTGAGGAAGGAGCTGACACAGGGATGTTTGAAACTCCTTTATTACCCTGAGTATAACAAATAGAACACTGTCACAGTATAAAAAAACAGAGCAGGAATTAGGTGCAGGCTACCACACAAAGTATGCACCGGGGACATGTTCCTTTGAGTCTGTAGCTAGTTACTTGGAAAAAGCCAGTTATGATTGTAAAAATTTTATTCTCTTTAATAACAATAATTCCACTAAAATTATACAAAGTACATTCAATACTTAAGAGTGGCAAAGGTGGGGAGAGGAGGAGAGGAAGCCGGTTTGGCCTGGAAGCATCATCAGTCGACTCCAACAAAGGAAGCCCAGCTGGGCTGGAGGAAGTTGGGGGTGGAGGTCCGGTTGTGAAAAATAAAAATGTGGATCGGTTGAAGGAGAAAAAAAAAAAAGGCCACCCACAAGGAAGCAGGGTGAACATGCATGTTCCTGGGGAGGGCGGGAGGCCCAGCCGGCATGCTGCTGCTGGGCGAAGGCTGCACTCAGGCAGGCTCCGAGTTGGTGGGGGGCAGGTTTTTATGCTTGAAATACTGAACAACTTGTTGGGGCAGCTCCGCCAGCACAGCTTTGGCCAACGTCTCTTTTGCCGCCTGCAGGGTAGGGTGGAGAGGGGAGAGAGCAAGGATTACTGAATGAAGTGGTGGCGGGCACCGTGCCCAGAGAGCTGCTGCAGACGGTGTCCTTGGAGGACAGACTCAGAGCTGAGGGCCAGAGTTGTCTGAAACTGGTGTCCCTCTGCCTAGCCTAGGCCTGAAATCCCACCATTAGCAGTGTTTTCCTTCACGTTAAGTGTAACTCTAACCTTGAGCACTCGAAATGCCCGGGAGTAACATTTTTGGATGACTGTCTGTGGGAGGCTTTTTGGGGAAAGAGATGGTGGAGGCGAGCTGCTCAGCCTACTCATCTGGCAAACATTTCCTGAGCACCTTCTTGGCCGGTATTAAGGGGCTGTGACTGATTCACTGCTCAACACCCAGCCACCGGCTGGGCACATGAGGAGCTCGGTCAGTGTCCATGCAGTGTCTGGGTGGCCAATGCCCAGCACTTGTCCTCGGAAGCTCATGCTCCAGAGGAAGGAGCTGAACCAGCTCAGGCAAACCCAGAGGGTATTGTGCAGGGATGTGAGCACCAGTGGGTACAAATCAGAGTGGCCAGTTCTTGCTGGGACTGGATCCCAGAACCTGAGCCACAGCACCCCGAGGCCCTTACGGCTGAGGGAACTGAGGCCAGGACAAGTCAGGGACTTGCCCAAGGCCACACAGTGTGCCTCTGGTCAAATGAGAGTCAGGCCCCAGGCTGGCAGTATGGGGTGGCATCTGAGAGATTGCTCCCTCTGGGGCTCCTTGTGAGCAGACCTGGGTCACCAGCAGATAGGACCAGAGCCAGCTCCAGGAGCAAGGCAGGCCACGAGTCCCCCCTGGAGAGACCCTTAGTGGGAGGAGGCCATCCTAAGATGGGCCTTGTTTTCCATCTGAAGTGAGGAGGCTGGTGAGGTGCGAGTCCCGGGAAAGCCACTTGCACCTCTGGGCCCCTGTTCTTTCTCCTGCAATGCTTTGCCCCATGTGGATAACTCCAACTTCTGGTTCAGGGTTAGATGGCAGGTCCTCCAAGAACCCCTGTCCTGGAGCCCCAGTCTGGACTGGGCACAGCCCTGAGTTCCATCAGCATGCTAAAGCGAGTGGTGACACAGCTGTCAGACTGCCTCACCAGGGGGCAGGGCCTGGCATGGCGCCGGGTCCACAGTACATTGTCAGTAGAGCTGAGGGTGGAGGAGCCTAGGATTGGGCAGACAATCCCAGTGCCTTCCTCCTTGATTATTAACTATGGTTGTTGGGGTCCTATAAGTGCCCCCTGCCCAGCCCAGGCCCACACTCACGTTGCGGAATTCTCGAAAGGGCACGAACTGCACAATATCACGGGCTGCCTCCTCCCCTGTGTGGGAGCGTAGCGTGCGGCTGTCCCCGTCCAGGAACTCCATGGCAGCGAAGTCGGCGTTACCCACACCCACGATGATGATGGACATGGGCAGCCTGGAAGCCTGCACCACGGCGTGCCGCGTCTCCTCCATGTCACTGATGACACCGTCCGTGATGATAAGGAGGATGAAGTACTGCTGCGGGGACAGGGTTAACAGACACTGAGCCCTGGGAGGAAGGTGGCTCTTCTCCCCTAGCTGTTGACAAAGCCTAGCCACTTCCCTAGCACACTTCCCTTGGCACCCTGCCCCTGCAGGCCTCTCATCCGCCTAAACTCTGACCCTGTCACAGCCAGAAGCACTAACTGCTCTCTTCCTCCTGCCCTGAGTGTTGTTAGAATCTGTAGCTTGGGAGTGAGCCCTGGACTCCATGCCTGGCTCTGACCATCACTATACCGTGGGACTCTGAGCAACTGACTCAACTTGCTGAGCCTCAGTTTCTTCATCTGCAAAGTGGGAGTCCCTGCGCCTCTCAAAGAGAGGCCACGCTGGTCACGTGGCAACAGCCCAGTATTGGTCAGCTGCGCAGAGTAAAACCCACAGCAGCTGAGGAAGAAGTGTTCTAGCTGGTGGACTCCAAGAGTAGCCTCCCTTTCTCTGCTCCACCTACATGTGGACACCTATGACCCTGCTCGTTCCCCATCAGCACAGCTGGCCTCAGAGACCTTTTGCAGGAGCTAAGCAGGTCATCTAGGTCAGTGCTTCTGGGATTGTGGGACCCTGCTGTTAACAAGCGGACCTGGGGGCACACCCCAGACACAGCATCACGCACAGCGGGAAGGATATTAGTTTTACAGCGGTCTTTGAATTCTACAGACTGCACCCAGGAGGAAGTCTCAGTTTGGTGCTTGTGTGTCCCACTTGCTAAGAGAAGACAGGAAGCTCAGAGCTCCAGGGACAGTGGTCTCTAGGTAGACTTAGATACCACTGTGCAGCCTGTTGTAATTTTTTTTATGTTACCCTCTATGGCAAGTGATAACTAACTTTTCCCTTACGGTGGGTTATCAAGTGCTTTACTGAATGAAGTTAAGGAAAGCTCAGTGGAATCTGTGGGCAGAAGCCCCAGGATTGTAAGCTGCCTGAGAACTCACTTTCAGCTTGGCTCTGTCCTTTGCACCCTCTGGTCCCTTTCTGGGAAACTCAGTTTTCCCCATCCACAAAATGAACAGAAAAGCCCTTGTGGCCCTAATATTCTCTGTTGGGGCCTTTTGCCTTCTAGCCTGACCCTTCTGGTTCTCAGGTGAGGAAATGGGGTCACAGATTAGTCAAGGTCATAGAGCTAAAAAGAGCAGAACAAAGCCACCTTTGACCACCTTCTTATCCAGCAATGCCATTTGCTCCCTAGGGAATGTACAGAGACTACAAATTCAGCCACCGAGGATGTCTTGTTCTGCCTGTCCACACACACAACCATAGAAGGAAGGATGAGTCACATGGAGGTACGGAGCCCACCATCCCAACTGCCAGCTCCCGATAGCAGTAGTCCATCTCCTCCTGCACTGTGCCTTTAAGAGACCAATTGCTTAGCTGGGGATGGATACCTGTTGCTATGGAGATGGCAGCCTGAATCCCTGCAGCGGAGGGCTGCTGCTGCCAGACCCCCATTCTTGGGGTTGGCAACAGGACTCATAAGCCCATCCAGAACCTTGGTCCCACACAGCCCCCTGTCGTCCAGCACCCTTTCCCCAAGTGACCATCTAACCTCACTTCTATCCTACCAGAAATAGTCCAGGGCAGTATTTCCAGGGCACATAAGCTGGCAGGAGGGAGGGCACTGAGAGACCTGGCAGTGAAGACAGAAAAGAATGCTTGGCCTTAGGCAACAGACCTGACCATTCAGCAGGTGGGACTGGTCTCCAAGCCCCTTCCAGCTCAGATAGTGGTCTCCCTCCCTCCTCCCCACATGGCCCTCTTGGTTCTCCCCTTTCAGCCAGCCATGCATCTACACTGAGACTTGGAGCACCAGGCCTGCGCCTCCCTCACAGCCTTGGGGCCTTCTTCTCCAGGGAGGTGGGTGCAGACAGGGCCTGGATTCCTGCAGAACCACAGGCACCAATTGATGAGGTGAGCAAGTCTGTGCCAACACATAGTGACAGTGACCATGACCACACACTCCTTGTCACACTCACGCTGGGATTCTCCTTTAGGAGATGGGGTGACGGGCTGGGAGAGGTTCAGTGACTTGCTCAACTCAGGAATGGCACAGCCTAGATTCAGACCCAAGCCTGGGCTCTTTCCACAATGTCCTCCTCTACTGGCCACTGCCATCAGGGGCCAGTAATTGTCTCTCCAATAGTGGGAACTGGCAGGGAGCTTTCTGCCCCCTCCCCTCAAGCACTCCAGTGTTGGCCCAGGACAGCTGCCCAGGGCAGGGCCCAGAGGCATGGCACTGGACTTTAGCCCTCACTCCAGCCACAGTGTCCACATCCACATGCCTGGCCTCAGCTGCTGCCCAGCTGGATCTGAGAGTCAACATCCTGGGCCAGGCTTGGCAATGGAAGTACAGCTGACAAGTCCTGGGCTTTACACCCATCCCAGGCAGAAATGAGACTGTCTAGGAGACTAAGATGCACTGTAACCCCAGGCGTTCACAGTCCCATCCCCAAGACACATGACAGGGAAGGTGAGAGGGGGCTGTGGAAGGGGAGAAAGAAGGGAAGAATCAGGCAAGAGGAGGTGGGAAGGGGCTCTGCTGTCCCCATGGACAGTCCTGGTCTACCCTTCCCCAAGTTTTCCCACCTCCACACCTTTCCTGGTTTATTTCCTTCTGCCTGGTATACCCTCCCCAGCCACAGCTCTGAGCATCTATTCCTCTGTCTCAAGCAGATGGGAAGCTTGCTCCAGCCCTGAGCTCTGCTCCCGCTGCCAGGATTACACCCTTGAGGAGGGCTCCTCTGGACACTCCTCTCCCTCCACACCCTGAGTGGTCCATAGGGCAGCCCCTTACACCTTCTTCTGCATCTCATGGGCCTGGTACCCTGTCCATGCTCCAGAAACACAGCCAGTCACTTTCAGGTCAAACCCAAAACTCAAACTCCTGGCACATTTCAAGAGCTGAGTATCTCTTGTCCTTACCCAGAGGCTCTTTAGGCTTTTAGGGCTGTAAATAGCCACTTCCCCTAACCCATTTGACATGTGATTTGATTTGTAAGAAATTGACTTGACCACAGCAGTTCCAGGCAGAGTCCAGGGAAGGTGCACTGATTCCCTGGCTTATCTCTGAGAAGTTGGCTGCCAAGGGCCCTGGGCAGGTGGAGGGAGATTCCTAGCTCTCCTGCCACTGGGACACCAAATGCCTAGGCGGCCAACCAGGAATGGGCCATGGATGGCAAGGCCCAGGTCTCATGGGCCAGAGCAGGGGCAAGGATGTGGCCCCAGGATAAGTCCCCTGGCTCAGCCCAAACCTCTCAATACCCTTCAGTGACTCTCCACTGCCCTCAAGCTTCAAAGGCATCTGTGGGAGGTGGCCTACCTTTTCAACCTCATCCGCCCCCGACTCAACCCACTCTTACATCTTTCCATCGGTTACGCCACACACCATGCCTCCCCGCCTTTGCCTCCACTGTTCCCTCTGCCTGGCACACTCCACACACACACACACACATACCCTATATAAAACTAACTTTTAAGCATCCTCCAAGTATCAGCTTGGACATCACTTTTCCAGGAAGCCTGCCCTAAGCCTTCTGTCTGGGTTAGGTGCCACCTTTATAATCCTGTACTTCCATCATCACACGTTGAATGTGCTGGCATCACAGCTACTGCTTCCTGGCCTGGCTCCCCACTAAACCATAGGCCTTGGAAGAGCAGAGGCCATAGCTTATATATCATGGTCTCCCTGGTGCTGCACAGAAGTATACTCTGCAGAGACAATCTGTGTGAATGAATGGGAGAGCGCGGGCCTGCCTAGAGAGATGCTTCCACCACCTGCTCTTGATTTCCTGTGTGTGGGTGTGTATGCATGTTTGTGTGTCGGGGATGGGGAGGCTGAAACCACACCAAGTGTTTCCCCAAAAGCAGCTGTATAAATGCATCAGGTAATCCATAGATTATTTCCTTTTGCCTTAGACCTAAATGTGCTCACCATCACCAAATGCTGGCTCAAGAGGTACCCTCAGAATATTCACCCACCCATGTTTACTGAGTACTTATCATGTGCCAGCCACTGTGCTGAGCAATTTGTATGCTGATCTGGTTGAATTTTCCCATTGCTTCTATTAGGCAGATACTGTTTCATCATTCCCATTGTATAGGTGAGAAAACTCAGGTTTGGAGAGCTTAAGCAACCTGCCCTGGGTCACAAAGCCAGAAAATGGGAAACCTGGGGTTTGAACCAGGTCAACTGGCCTCCAGAGCTTGAGGCTGAACCATCAGGCAGCCCCACCTTTAGTACACGGTGAGATGTGGGAGGGAGAGAAATATCTGTATCTTCTTGGACATCAGAGTAGAAGGGGCCAAGGGCCCAGGAAGGAGCCTGCAGCCCAGAGATGCTGGCCCAAGGTCTCACAACTGGGGTGGGCACAGCACTTCCCCAGGGTGAGGGAGCCAGGGGGAGGCGGCCTTCTCAGGTTGGGAGGATCAGGTCACAACGGAAGTGGCTGGGGTGTCACAAGGACTTGCTCAGAGAAAGGACCAAGTTCTTCCCTCAGGGGGGCCCTCAGCAGTGGTTCCAAGCCCAGGGCCCAAGCCCTTCCAGGTCTAGGATCCAGCAGGCACAGGTCCGTTCTCCCCAGGACCTCATCTCCGGCCCCGGCTCAGCAGGTGAAAGAGCCCACAAGGAACGCTGGGCTTCTTCCTGCTCTGCCCCGCCCCATGTTTTTTTCTTAAACAAGAATGCAGGCCTTTCTTCCATCCCTTTGAAAGCCAGTTCAGGCGGATAAAAGACTGGGCAGGACAAAGGCCTGGCTGACAGCAGGAATCCAAAAGGTCTGTGAGCTGAGTTGTGGCGGCCTGCCTCGCACTCTGCCCTCTCCGTCCAATTCTAGCCCAGGACCCCAGGAATTTTTTAAAAACCACTGATTCCTCCCCAGTTATCGTTCCACTTAGGTGGGCTTTACTTCTCCCATTTCATAAAGGAAATAGGCCCAGAGCAGGAAGGGGCTTGCCTCAGGCCCTCAGCTGCCACCACCAGGGCTGGCCTCTCAGCTGCCACCACCAGGGCTGGCCTACAGCGGATCACGCTTCCGAAGCAGAAATGACCAGGACCGCCTTCCTTCAGTCCAGAATCGTGCTGACCTCTCTCCTGCCTGGCCATGGCGCCTGCCCTTTCTTCTGCCTGGGGGGCTCTTCCCAGCACTCTCTGCTGCCTGCCCTTTCTCGTCCTCAGGTCTTTTTGGGAGCCAGCTGCTGGGTTATTTCATTTAATTCTAACACCACCACCTCAAGGTAGGGTCTATCAGGATTCCCATTGTACAAATGAGGAAACTGAGGCTCAGAGAGGTTAAGTGATTTGCCCAGGTCACACAGTGAGGAATGGGCAGGGGCAGGATTCAAACCCTGGCAGGCTGACCCCAGAGCCCCCTTCCCCACAGACCCTCTGTTGCATCCCAAACAATCAGACCATGTGCTGCTGTCCTGCCCTCTGCAGGCAGGCCCTGGTGTCCTCTTTCTCCTCCTCATAACCTACCCCCTTTTATCTCTGCTGCCATCTCCAGGAAGCCAACCTCCACCTCCTCAGTGACCTTCCTCTGGGAAGTCTCACTGGGACCAGGTCCCTTTCCCTTTGGGAGAGGCCCTGGCCAAGGTGCCTCCTCCCAGCTCCTTGCAGAGTGCTCAGCGGGGGCCACACGACAGGGGCCAACTTACATCCGTCCATTCCTGGAGCACGAGCGCCTGCTGCAGCGCAGACCAGCAAGTAGATGAAAGACAACACACAGACACAGCCCAACCCATGGAGCTGAGAATCCAACAGGGAGACACACAGTGGCCAAGGAAATGAGTATGTGAAGGAGATACTGTCACCTTCATCAGAGTCAAGATAGGAATAAACAGAGAAGACAGGGGATAGGTTTCAGGTGGGTGGGCAAGGAAGGCCGCTGAGGGGTGGTACTTGAGGGGACACTGAGGGATGGGACAGAACAGCTGGGCTGTTCTGGGGTGGGGTGGGGGACAAGCTTGGTGACACTGGTGTCTTTGAGGGATGGGACAAGGTCAGTGGTGGAATGGTGATGAGTGAAGGAATTGGGGCAGGAGAGGCAAGATCTGATGTCTGCAGTTAAGAGGACCCTCTAGCAAGAGAATGGACAGTAGGGGCAAGAGCGGTGAGGGGCGGCTGTGGCGTCCACTGAGAGATGATGGTGGCCATGGCAATGGGGAGGTAGGTGAACTCAGGATAGCATTCTGGAGGAAGAGCGGAAAGGACAGTACAAAGGGACTTCAGCAGCAACCCTTTCCTTTCAGAGGAAAGGGGGGGCTGTGGTGGTGTCCCGGGGGCCATGGTCAGGTGGGAATTGGACCCACGGCACAGTCCAGGTTCCACCACCCCAGGGCTAGGTGCCAGATTCTTAGCCTCACCTCAGCCTACTTGTAGCAGGAGCCCTTGTAGCAGGGGGGAAAGACCCCCAGCTTATGTTACAGGTCCTGGTGGATGGCAGGGGAGACAGGCAAAGGTGACCCTTGGTGACCCTGACAATGGCATTGGGCCTGGAGCTGGGGGGGCAGGGAGAGGACCAGGGATGCAGATGCCCAGGATGGCCATGTATTCCAGATGGCAGCGCTGGCAGCGTCAGGCCAGGCCAGGCTTGCCTCATCCCTGAACACTGGACCTGGGCCACACAGTTCCAAAGCCCTCAGTCTGAGGTGGGAGCTACTCTGATTGGAACTAAGTAGCCCAGACGGTCAGCCTTAAGGCTGCAGATACCACAGTCTCCTGGTTTCTCTCTTCCCTGGGAGGCACTTCCCATTAATCGCAGCCCTATATCCTACTAAGCCCAAGAGAACAGAATTGCCGCATCGTCCGCTAGTCTGTGCTCCAGGAAGCCAGAACAATCAAGATGAGTTTGCTCCAACCCCCTTACCACACCTGCAGGTAAACTAAGGTGCAGAGACATTCACCTAGGGGCTCACCTAGAATTTTAGAACAAGGGGAGGCATAATATCCAGCTCCTCAGCCCCATGGGCAGGGAGGGTAGGAGGGACGGATCTCTGTCCAGCAGGGAGGGCCAAGCTTATGCCAGCCCTACACTACACATCCACACTGGTGGTCACCTACTCACCGTGGCTGTCTGCTGCTGCGTGGCCTGGGCTGCAAACCGGGCCACGTGGTTGATGATAGGAGAGAAATTGGTGGGACCATAGAAGCGGATGTGGGGCAGGCAAGCCGAGTATGCCTGGGCAATGCCGTCCACACCTGCCTCGGGGAGAAAACTCTGGATTAGCCCAGTCCTCCCTGACCCCACACCCACTCTCATCCCCACTGCTCACTACCCCAAATGCCCCTGTTGTGGCCAATCTGGGCCCTGTGAGACTGGAAGCTCCCAGAGGGCAGGGCCAGGGCGGTATAAAGTAAAGAGCTCAGAATGTGGAGTCTAACCTGAGTTCAAATCCTGCCTTTGCTACTTCTTGGCGGTAGGACCTGGGGGAAGTTGTTTAATCTTTCTGAGCCTCTTTATTTGTCAACAGGACTAATAATCTATACTCTTGGGCAGCTGGTAGGAGGCGATCAGGCAGGCTCTTCCAGGGAAGGGGTGGGCAGAGCCTGCAGTGATACATCTGGGAGCCATCCGGAGGTCCATTCTGGATACGCTGTGACTGCTTCTCAGAGTTTCTGGGGGTACTGAGATGCTTGTGTGCCCTGCACCCAGGAGGTGCTCTGTATGTGCCCACCATTATAAGCCTAAGAATAGCCCGCTGCCTGCAGTCTTGTTCAGAAGCCCTCTGACCATGGATAAGGCTGGCCAATCTGAACTTGGATAAAATGTCTCTCTAGATCTGTTTTGAACCAGACAGACCCCAGCAAGACGGCCACAGCCAACAAAGGCCCATGGCTTCTGAGTCACAGCATAGTCTCCAAGTTGGTGACTTCATGCATTTCCCCTCCAAGTATAAACCTGACCCAGCTTCAGGGGTCCCCAGGGAAGGTAGATGCCCCATCCAAGGCAAGCCCTAGGTCTCATGGTGGCAGGGATCACCCTCTTCCACACCCACCTGGAGCCCCTTCTCCTTCACTAGTTTCTTAACAGACTCTGGGAGGCTTAGATATCCTCTTAGCCCTGGAGCAGGGTGAGCACAGATACCACACTTGCTGCCTGCCCCTTCCTCCTGCCCAGCACCCCTACCCAGGCCATGCTCAATCCTCAGGAGCCAAGGCTCCTTGTGGAAGGAGGGGAGAACAGAGTGGGGTGCGACAGGCCTGGGCCCTCCTAGCTAGGATTTGCTGCCCTCACTTCCTCCTGGTCTACACAGGGCTCCCCGTCACTGCTTCCCTTAATTCTCACCTGATCACCCAGTGAGGTGAGCTACACAGGTATCACACCTTCCTGGGGCGGGTGAGGAGGCAAAGACCCAGTGGGGTCCAGTGATCTCTCCAAGGGCACACAGCCAGGAAAGGGTAGCGGCTGGCCTTGAATCCAGGGCCACCTGACTCCAAACTCCAGCCTCTCCCCATCTGTCATTCTGAGCAAGCGTGAGGGGAAGGGCAGAGATGAAAAGGACAGAAACCTGTATTCCCTCCCTCTGCCCAGGGAGATGGTCAGGCCCGGCGTGAACTCAGGGCAGAGGCAGGTGGGCTTGACACTCACCTGAGCAGAAGGGGTTGGTGGGGTTGAAGTTGATGGCAAACTCATGGGAGACCTGAAATGCAGAGAAAATGATGAGCTGGCAGCTTCCTGGCCCTAAATGTGGGTACTGGCCTGCCCCGCCCCCGTGCCCCTGCCAGGCCAAGGCTCCTCTGCAGGAACCTGGTTTTTTGCTGTCCTACCCCAGGTCAAGGCTGTTGATTCCCTACATCTACTTTCACCTCCACTGCTGGGTCTGAGTGACAGAGAGGCCCAACCACGCCCGTTTCATAATGGAGGAAACTGAGACCCTTCTACATCACCCCAATCTCTTCCGGGACCCACTAAGTGAGTCCCCAAGGAGGGCAGAGATGTGTCTGAGGGTGGTGGGTTCAAGGAGCAGTTGGAGTGCCCCTTTGTCACCTTCTGTCACTAGTGGGGCTATAGCTAGAGCCTTCGGGCCTTGAGGGCTTTCCCCTATCTTATTAAGCACAAGTGGGCTTGGAAGGGAGCCCACCTTATGCCAGTGAGCCAAACTGGAGCCTAGATAACAACCTGCTCAGAGCTGGACTAGGGGCTCAGGAAGCACACTGGGCCCAGAGGGGCGGGGAACAGAGAGGCCTGTCCCAGTTCCTGCAGACCCAGCCCCTAGCCCAGGGAGATCAAAGGCTGACCCTTCACGCTCCCAGATTTGCTGGTCCACAGAGGGACCGATCACTAGACCCCATTCAAGGCTGCAGGTAAAACTGTGGTGGCTGCAGAACCTAGGGCCTCAGGAGGGGCCAGAGCTCAGATGGGGGGATCTCCCTCCCTCCCCTGCTGCCTCATAGCCAAAGCCCCCTCCGCCCCCTTCCCTATGAACCGTGTGCCACAGCCCACGTTTGGCACTTCACAGGCATCCCCCACTCCTTCACAACAATCCAATGGAGAAAGGCCTGGTATTATCCCATTTTTCAGATGTAAAACTGAGACAGAATGGACTAGAATGTCCCTATGGTATCACATTTACTGAAGGGGAGAGTTGGGACTAGAACTAAAGTCAGGCTGCCTCCTGAGCTCACAACCCATGAACCCACTAACCTGAGAAGGTGTTCCTCTCCTGAGGATCTGAAATAGGAGGGCGAAGAGATATCCACGGGAAAGGGACCCCCCGCCCTCAGCTGCTGGAGAAGAGCTTCAGTCCAGACACAAACAATCCCAGACAGACTCTTTAGCTCCAGACACTACAATGAGGGTACTGCAAGGCTCCACCAAATCCAACATCCCCATTTTACAAGTAAACAAAGAGACCCAGAGAGGGGAAACCAGGTGCCAAGGCTACAGAGCAGAACAGGCCTGGGACCTAGGCCCCTCAAGCCTGGTGAGTGGGTTGGGCCCCTGGCCTTAGGGAGCCCTGCTGGGCCAAGACAGAAGGGACTTAGCAGCGGCGTTGACCCCAGCCCTGCCCTGTACCTGAGAAGACCCCTCCCTGTTGAGGGGGAATGGGCTTTTCTGTTCTTTGCTCCCTCAGCCATAAGTGCCTGGCATGGAGCCATTCCCCTGATGTCCCTCTTCACTCTGTCCCCACTCTGGGCTCCAGGTGTAGGGGCTGGAGGTCCTTGTTGCCATGGAAACCTCATGAGCCTCTATAGCGGTTAAGAGGGGGGCTTGTACAGAGGGGGCTGAGAGAGGAAAATGGTTGCCAGGGAAACTGGCCTCCCTTGAGCCAACGACTTCCTGCAAAATCAGATTTTAGGAGATTTTAGAGACCAAGGGGGAAAAGCCCCCTCCTGATAGGGGTGGATTAATAGTCCACTTTCTCAGCCACCCAAATTTTTCATTCCCCACTCTTTTTCTCTGTTTGGGGGAGAGTGGGGCCTGATGGTCAAGTGGATGGAGCTGTGGGAGGCCACCCATCTACCCTGGGGCCTCTCTGGTCATCTCCTTCATCCAGCAGCTCCATTTCACAGGTGGAAAAACTGAGGTTCACAGAGCGCCAAGGAATGACCAGGTCACATGAATGAGCCACAGCAAAGTCAGGATCAGATCTGGGGGATAAGAGTTCATGCTGCCTGTGGCAGCCCAGCCCCCTCCCATACTTGCTGCCCTGGTTTGCCTGAGAAATGCCAGCAATGAGCTTCCTGGAGGCCACCCCAAGCCGATTAGGGGCCCCTGGAGACTGGCTGGCCACAGGTCTTTGTCCTGGGACTCCCTGCTGCCTTCTGACAATCAATGGCCTTGTTCACCCCACTTGGCTAGGCCCAACCCATGGTCAGTGAGATACTTAAGATACTGTTCCCTCTAGTCCTGGCAGTGGCAGGGCAGTGGAAGTTGAAAGGATCTCAGAATGATCATCCTCTCTGAGCCTCAGTTTCCTCATCTGTAAAGTGGAGAGAGTCATAAATTGTGCTTTTCCCCACCCCAGACCTTTGCACAAGCCCGTCCTTCTGCCTGATCCCCCTCTTCATCTGACTAACTCTGGCTCACTTTGAAATGCCAATGCTTTCTGAGTCCCTCAGCCACTACCCAGGACAAGGGTCCCCTTCGGGCTCACCTCGCCCAGGCCCAGGGAGGAACTGAGGTCCTGAGGGCAGGCTGCCAACTTGCACGCTCCTTCTAGCTCCTTCCAATTTCTCACACTCAGGGGACCAACACCTCTGTCTGCTCAGGCCACTGGGCCCCAAATTTACTGTCAACAATCATGTACTTCACACCGAGTGTGTGCCAGAAGCTGGGACACAGAAGGAAACCAGTGCCCTCCCTGAGTGTTATGCTCTGGAGGGAGACAATAAGCAAACCCACACATAGCGTGACCACAGGGTTCGTGAGGACAGTGTCAGGCAAGGAGGAGGGGCCCCATGTAAGTGTGCTCAAGGAAGTCCTCCCAGAGGGAATGATCTCTCAGCTGAGAGCCGCATGGGAAGTCAGTGAAAGGGGGAAAAGGCCAGGGGAAGACCACATGCAAAGGCCCTGAGGTGGGAATGAACAGAAGAAGGCTCATGTGGCAGGAGCAGGGTGAGTCAGAATGAGAGGGAGGGTGTAAGGGGCTGGGAGGGGCCGGGCCTGGCAGGCTCTAGTGGCAGAGGGAGGTGGGACAGAGCATCTGCCTTTTCCAAGCCTGGTTCCAGCAGCCCTCCTGGCACCATCAGGCACTCCAGCCTGGCCAAGCTCCAGTCTCCCTAGAGTTGCCCTGTGACATTTCCAAGGAGGCTTTTGCGCAAGAAAACATCTCATTCAGCTAGAGTTCTCTGAAAGCTGACTGGTGTCTTGACAACGAGCTCATGCTGGCCAGGCAGGGCCAGGCTGGGCCAGGCCGCACCAGCCCACCCTTCCCCCAGTGACATCACCACGTCTGCCCAGAGGCCCAGCTTTTGCCCCACAGGATCCTGCCCCCTATCATACAATGGCCAGCACCCCACAGAGCAGCTTCCTAAAATTCTAGGTGAAAACTGTCCTCCCTGGAGAGGATGGGAGGGGAACACCCACTCTGGAAACAGCATGTGGTACAGCAGGGCAGACAAGAGGGAGCACTGGCTGAGACATAAGTGCAGATTTAGGAGCCCTCTGTACCCACACCCACAAGCTTCTCATCGGGGAGGCAGCAAACTCTGAGAATAGACTTGAGCATCCACCTGCCCAGCTGGAATCCAGGCTTCCTGTTATGAACATGACCTTGGGCAAGTCATTGAGCCTGTTTTCCCACCTGTAATAGATATCACTCCTTTTCTCCATCCCTCCATCCTGCCTCCCATTACCCCAGCCAGTCCTCACTCAGCAGCCAGAGTAGGCCTTCAAATATGCCAGTAACACCCCATGTAGACCCACTTTAATATGCATTGGAAACCCTGCATGACTCATTGTGGGTTTGGGGTAAAGGCAGAGAAGTCAGGGCAGCTGGGGCCCAGACAGACCTTTCCAAAGCAGACCCCACAGAAGCCATAAACACAAATCCCATCTCAGCCAAAAGGAAAGAGTCTGGCTTCACTTACCTTCCAGTCTGGGGGTAACTGTGCCCCAAAGCCCAGAGCTGGAAACATCTTATCACTAATCAGAAAGAGGAGAGAAAAACACTGTGAGACCATAAAACAGGGGCCTTCTCTGCCCAAGCTCACCCTCCCAACCCCCTACCAAGGGCTGGACCCACTCTGCCTTGCACACCTCCAAGGACAGAAAGAAAGGCTCACCACCTCTAGAAAAAGCTGTGTTTGAATCATCTATTGAGCCCAAACCCATCTCTGGGTATCTGGTTAACAAGAGGCTTGAGCCCATCTACACCCATGGCAGACATTACTAATCAACTGTAGCACTTTTAACCATTGGGCCTGAGTGCAGATTCTAGACCCTTCTCAAACTGGGACCTTGGCAATAACTAAACCACAGTCATGATGGAAGTGAAATATAGTCAAGAGACAGCCACTTTTATGGCTGGGAAAAAATGCTCCTAAAATGTGAAACAGTGGCTGGAACCAGAGGGTTGATGATTATTTAAAAAAAACAAAAACAAAAAACAAGTAGAACACTGGCTTGGCATTCAAGGCCCTTCATGATCTAGCCCTAGAGCCTAGTGTCAGCATCCACCTGCCCTCCTTCATTCCCCAGCCCTGGCCACTAGCTTCTTGCTGTTCCTCAAACACATAGGACATCTTCATGCTCCAATCTTGTTGCACTCCCTCTTGAAATACCTCTCCCCAATCTGTTCCCTGTGGCAAACTCCTATCCATCTTCTAAGGCCCAATTCAAATGGCCCCTCTTTCTCTGGATTTCCCTAGACCCCAGAATGCCTCTCTCTTTGGTGGTCCCATAGCTCCTGCCTCACACATAAACTAGTCTCTTGGAACTCCAGTGATTTCTTCCCTATGTTCCTCCTCGAGTGGGAACTCCCTGAGGGCAGGGACCATGTTTCATTTGTTTATTAATTCAACATATATTTACTGAGGAATCCTCTGGCTACTATGAGAGGATAGACATCCAGGGGCCAGGGCAGAAGCAGGGAGGCTGGTGAGGAGGCTACTGAAATGATCTGGGCAAGAGGTGATGGTGGCTCAAACAGGCTGGGAGCAGTGAGGGTAGAAGTGGCTGGATTCAAGCATGTTTTGAAAGGACTTCTTTAAAGAATGATGGGGGAGATGAGGGAAAGAAAAAAAATACAAAGAGTTTTCGATAAGTGGTGGTGCCTCTCACTGAGATGGGAAAGAGGGTGAGGGGGCAGATGTGGGGCAGGAGTCCAGTTAAGCCTGCATGCCCATGAGAAGGCTCAGAGAATGAGCCAAGTGGGCAGCTGGATACAAGGGTCTCTGGAGTGGCAACAGCAGGCTCCCCCACCCAACCACGCAGGTGGGGACTTCCACCTCCCCTGCTCTGCGTGCTGTTACCTCTCTTAATGTGGCCTGGGATCAAAGCCACCACTAAGGCCCTGAGCCCCCTGGGAGTCAGAAGCTGGTCCGCAGGCTGCTGCTTTTGAGGAGGCCAAGTGCACACAGGATTCCTGAGTCTGCTCTTGTTCCCACCAAATCTGGGACCTGTTCCTTTCTCCCCTGTTCCCCGTGTGTTGGCCCCCTGGTCATTCCACCCTCCGACCTGGAGGTCCCAACAAGCACCATCTGTGATGATGACACCACAACCCTCAAGTGACTTCTGGATCCTCCAAGCCCTCTGGGACTCTGCATTTGACACATCCTGTTGGTGACCACACCCTCCACACAGCTCACCTTCACTGCCTCTGCACTGTCCCCCCACCCAAAGATCTCCAGGGAGCATGGCCATGGGAAGAGGATCCACATGCTGGGTGCTCCTCTGAAATTCCCAACAGGAGTGAGACAGTTGGGCCATCAGGTGGCGGGTGCAGGAATTGGAATGTCTGGGTTCCAGTCCCTCTGATCTGTGTGACTTTGGATAAATTCTCTATCCACATCCTAGACCTGTACTTCCCCAGCTCTAACAGTAAAGGTTGCGGCAATAGCAAATGAGTTTCATTTTCTGTCTTGACTCATTTTCTTTTCTTTCTTTTTTTTAAATTGACTTAATTTCTTACTACTTGGCATACTGTGTGGAGAAGGATCTCAGTATGGATCTGGGCTTTGTAGGGCTAATCAGCAGCTGATTAGCAATGTCTGCCACAGGTATAGGAAGGGGCAATAATTGCACGTACGTCCTGTGCTAGCCATTCCAAGGTTTGATGATTTCTGGGTCCTTTCTAGCTTTGACAAGCTGAGCTTCCAGATGGATGGAGCCTGAGCTGACCTTTAGAGTCCCTCCCCAAGCTTACCTGTCGTAGTCCTGAATGATCTGCCCGACTGCCCAGATGGCCGACAAATATTCATTGGTGCCCATGGGGTTGATATAGTGCAAAGAGGAAGGGTCAAGGGGATTTCCATTGGAGGCTGTGAAGTCTATTCCAACCTGCAGAGTGGGGAAAAGGCCACCCAGTGCGACCAGAGACCCCAGCTCCCTGTCTCACTCCAAGGAACAGAGAGGCTGATGCGATATGGGAAGCCCAATCACCTCCCAGCCCCGACCCACACTTCCATAAGATGATCCAAAACCTGGAAACTGTCTGACTGTATTATTCCTGTGGTTCTAATGCTGTCTGTGGCTCCCTATTGCCTAAGCATAAAGTCTATGGCCCAGACATGATACAAAGCCAACCTACAACCCCAAATTCCTTTTCCCCCCTCACTGTCCCTACCCACACATTCACCTGCTCGCATTTGCAGGCCTTTATTCATGAGGTTCGCTCTACCTGAAGAGCCAATCCATCTCTTCTCCCTATCTAATTCTCTTCCAACTTTCAGGCCCAATTCAGATGTCACTGCCCCACTGAAGCTTTCCCAGACACCTCACCCCTACACCAAGCCATTTTCCCATTGTCCCTCAGTCTACCAAAGGGCACCAGGACCTGGACTGCCTGGTAGGGCAGTGCCCACCTTCCCAGTCAGACTGGGTGATCACTGCAGGTAAGACTCATGGCCCTGGAGCCAGATCCTGGACTGTGCACAGAGCACTGGGCAGATGCCCCACAGGGACCAAGGCTGGTGGGTGGAGAGTGGGCTCCACCTGCTCTCTCGGCCCCAAGGGAATTTCAGCCTAGCCTCTGGAGGGTAGCACAGAGGGGTGGGCAAGACTGCCCAGCAGGGGGAGGAGTAGGTGAGGGACCCAGGGGATGAGATGGCCATTTGAGAACTCCATCAGGATCAACTGAGGGACCCGTGCAGGAGCACAGCCTGGTGTCTGGCACACAGGAGGTGCTCAGTATCATCTGCTGAGTAAACACATGCACGCAGGAGGAATAGGAGGGCCCAGCCTCCCTGCAGGGGAGGGGGGCAATGGTGACCAGGGGAGTTAGGGGTCAACAAGGCCAATCCCCTGCCTCCTTATAGTCCCACAGGCAACTTCCAGCCCCCATGAAATCTAGAGGTGGTGATGGACAGTGGGGAAGCCAGGTGGGAGGTGGACAGAGTATGGGACTCCAACAGGTTCCCCCCGGGCCTGAGGCTTCCCTTCAGGTGAAGAACAGGACAAGTCTGTGGGGTACACACTCCAGGTTACAGGCAGAGTGACAATTTACTCTTCCAACAAGTATTTACTGAGTGCCTGGTATGTGCCAGGCATTGACTGATACACTGAGGTTGGAGTGGAAACAAAACAAAGGCCCCATACTTAGGACACTCACAGTTGCGAGTCGCTAGTGGGATGGGGATATCAAAAAATACTTAAGAAAATTTCAGAGTGCCAAGTGCCCTGAGGATAATAAAACAAGAGAAGTGATGAAGAGGAACAGGAGGCATCCAGGGAGGTGATCTGGGGAGGTGACCTCAGTGTTACGGCCTGCAGGATGGCCGGGCAGCCGCTGTGAGAAGGTTCTGGGAAAGAGCCTTCCAGGCAGAAGGAACAGCAAATGCAAAGCCCTAAGACACAGCAGAACTTGGCTTGTTGTGGGAACAGTGAGGATCAGTGTGGATGGAGCCAAGTGAGCAAGGAGGAGGGGGCAGCACAGGAAGCAGAAAGGGGAGTGCGGATGAATTTGGCTTTGTTCCTTCTGAAGAAATGTAGCCAGGGACACTCTGAGGGCTGGGTGGCCAGGCCCTGACCTGCAGCTAAGCCCTGAATAAGGCCCGTCCACCTATACCCTCTCCTCTGGGCCAGTCCTTCCTGAAGTTTATCCCAAGTCCCTCCTGCTGCAGTGGCCCAAGCCCTTAGGGAGAATCCTCACTGGGGTTGAGTAAGGTGGGGCGGGGAAGAGCCTTACGGTGAACATGAGCTGGCAGCCTCCCAGGATGTAGTCCAGGAAGGAGTAGTCCCGCTTTATCTGGAAGGAATCAGAGGGTTCAGTTGGTCACCACCCTCACTGGGCCACACTGCACAAAGGCTCTTTGGGGGGTTGTTACTCTGTGCCCTGACAGGGGACAAGGAGACCAAAAAACACAGACGGACCACATCTGATTACAACAAAACCCAAATCTCTATCATAACAAAGCACTCAGAACAAAGGTTCCCGGCGGGGCGGGGGGGTGTGACGCGCGCGTGTGCGCGCGCACACACACACACACACACACACAAGATGATTCCAGGCAGTGTCCCAGGCCCCAGTGTCAATCATACCCAGCACTTTCATAACAGACCTTTCGGTCTTTCAGCCTCTCTAGCCCTTACCAACCTCAACTTTGAATGGAGAGAGGCCAGACCTCTGGCCCAAGGCCTCCTGCTGTAAATTAACGAAGCGACTAAAACATTGTTTGGATGGTCTTTGCCTCCTTTTGGCAAAGAATACTGGCCTTCTGGTTTTGGTGACATTAGAAGGGTTCCTTTCAAAATAAATGTATTTAAGTAAAGAAGACACAATAATCAGGAGGGAGGTGGTTCCAAAAAATAAAAAGGCAGGTGCCAAAAATCACGAACAAGGGATGTAAGTGACACAAGTTTCAGAAACAAGGACCTGAAATCATGATGCTGCAACCTGTCAGCTTAACTTTCACAGAGCACGTCTGCGTGGGAACTTTGCTGCAAGTTCATGTAAATCCTAGTCTCCAGATGAGGAAACTGAGGCCTGGGGTGGGCCAGCCAGTAGAGAGAGTGCCAGATCTCAACCTTCAGGTGTAGCATCCAGAGCTCTCATTGTGCTGGCCTCGGCTGCCTTCCTTAACATCCTGCCCGATTCCAGCAAATACACAGCCACCAGATACCCAGGTGGGCCTGGCCCCTGACCTCAGCCTGCCTACTGCTGGTATTAACTTCATTGTCCTTCTGGGCGGCCTCAGTTACACTACAGGAGTTGCAGTTGCCTAAGCCCTTGCTGATGTCACTGACAGAGGATGGGTACCCTAGCCTGAGGTCCTCTGCCTCTCTGATGCTGAACATGCAGTGGGCAAGCCTGGGAAGTAGCAACTGCCAACAGTTCCCCTCCTACTAGGAAACCTTGGAAGGTCATCTCATGCCTTGACTTCCACACAGCAATGTGATAGGAGACTAACCCTTTACACACTTTATCCTGTTAACATCCCAGTTCTACATACCAGGAGACTGAAGACCAGAGAGGCTAAGCTCAGAAGGTCACAGAGTCAGGATGTGATAGAACCAGGATTTGAACCCAGGCCTTGCTGGCTCCATATCCAATGCTCTGTCCATCCCTTCTGCAATGATACTTCTCTGAGTGACTCCCAAACCTGGCCCCGGCCCTATGCCCACTCAGGCTGGCTCACCTTGCAGGAACGCAGGATAATGATGCCCGAGTTTTTATAATTCTTCTTCTTCCTCTGCTTCTTGGGGTTGATACACTCAAATTCCCGCTGGGCAACACAGGAGGAGAAAGAGAAGCTCGGCTTGGGGCTTTCACAGGGATTGCTCCTCCCCTGGGCCCCAGAATCTACTCCACAGAGTTGACTAGGGGGTAGCATGCCTCCTCCAGGAAGCCTTCCCAGAAATGGTTCCTGCCACCTTGGGATCAGGCCAAGCTATACCCGCCCAAGGTAAGATCTACAGCTGCCCTCCATCCCCGGACAACTCTTCCATGTCATGTCCACTTGTGCACCCAGAACCGTAGCCCAGGGAGGGCCTGGCTTCTTGGAGTTAAATGGACAGCTCCTGAGTCCTCGCTAAGTACTAGATGCTTTACCTGTATAATCTCATTTCATTCTCATTCTATTCTTCTGCCTCTACTTGACAGATGGGGAAATTGAGGCTCAGAGAGACCGACTGTCTTACTCAAGGTCAAAAGGCAGAGAGGTAGGATCTGAGCTCCAGTCTGCCTGATTAAAAAACCCGTGCCCCTTCCCCACCCCCTGCTGAGGTCTTGGGGTCACGTGCATGAGCACATCTTACCGGGATGCCATCATGAGCCTCACACATCTGTGACACTGAGGTCTGGAACTCCCCAATGAAGTCATGGCCCCCATCGTTGTCATAGTCATAGCACATAACCTAGAGTGGGTTCAGTGAGATCACCCTAGAGCTGCCCTGCCTAGGAAGGCACTTACCAGCTCCCCTCACCTCCCTGAGCAACCCAACATCTTCTTTTTGGGTGTGCCTCCCTCTCCCCACAGATCTGACTAGCTGACTTGGGATGACGCTGGTAGCGCCCAAACTGCCTCCTGCAGGAAGACTTCCATGATTGCTGGGGAAAAGAGAAAGGGTGCCCACTCAAGTAATGGAAGCTGTTCTCTCTGGGGCAGGAAGCTGCACACCTCACACTTGGCTGCTAATCTGTCTTGGTCTCATGGGCCATGGCCTGGAGCCCTCCCCAGACTGGTATTTTTTCCCCAAAATGGGCACAAAAAAATACCATCTTGATTTGCTCTCTAACTTAGCTGCCGTGACACTCCTAGGAGGAAGGTAAGAATTATCATACCCGTTCCACTGATGGGTAACCCGAGGCCCTGAATGGGAAGCATTTGCCCAGAGTCTCATAGTGGCAGTAGTAGACCCAGAACTAGAACTCAAGTTTCCTGATACCCTGTCTGGGGATCCCTACATGGTCTTGCTGCCTCCCTGCATCCCATCTGCTCTCAGACACAACCCTGAGGACTGAGAGCTTTTAAAGACTAGTGATCATGGGCTTCATCACAACAACCACATTCGGCTGTTTCCAAGGCAATCCTGCATTCATTATCCCATCTAACAGCACACAGCCCTCCAGGAAGAACAGGGCAGTCACTGTTCCTGTTCTAGACAAGAGATTCACAGAGATGAGGGCCCTGCCCAGATCACTGAGAGTCAGGCAGACCCAGGAGAAGGACCCATGTCTTCCCCCTCCCCCAACATGTTTTTTCCATCATAATAAAAGCTTTGCCAAGGCACCCCAGGAAGCCTCAGGTAGACTGGGAGGCTGGAGCTGTCAGAGTGCACAGCAAGGTTCTTGCAGCCCCCCTCACCTGGATGGGCTTCTCCATGTCCCCATCACACAAGGACACCAATGGCACAGTGAAAGGCTTCCACACAGGGTCCAGCGTGTACTTGATCACCTGGAGGACAGTGAGGAGCAAGGGTGAGCTCAGGCCCAGGTCAGCCCAATGGGACAGTGGGTAACAAGGTGGAGAGACCCACAGCCAGGCTTCTGGGGTTGGAAGTGAGTATCCCTGTGGCAGGGAGGGAATGGGTCCTACAGGTGCCACCATGGGTTTTCCTGTGCACTGCAGAGCTGTGACTGCCCAGCCCTGTCCTGAGCTGTTGGGGGTGGCTGGACTGCAGACCCCCTGACTCAGAGACTCCCAGAGCCCCACGCACCCACCTCAGTCCTGTGGACCAGCATCCACTTGCCATCAACTCCTGGTTTATAAAACTCGAGAAATGGGTCTGACTTCCCGAAGAGATCCTGGAGGAAGCAGGAGGATGTGGGTGAGGGAGGCACAACTCTACCAGATTCAGATGGGATGGAGGTGTGGCCCAGCTGCCCCCCCAACCCAGCATCAGGAGTGGAAGCTGTGGGCAGAGCCAGCCTGGTCCCTCTCCCCTCAGCCTCTGCAGGGCTCAGCAAGAAGCCCAGGGCATCTACAGCCCCCAGGACCAAGCAGCATCCCCAAGAGAAACCACGCCATCTTGGGGTAACCAGAGCTTGTGCTCAGAGACCCTAAGCCTCATGGAAGTTACAACTCCAGCATCTTAGACAGAGCAGGACATCAACAGGGAGATTGTTCCCAGGGCAGGGGAGGCATGCATCCAGCCGGATGGGATTTTAATTTACTTTACTGGGAATCTGAAAAACTGAAACTATCCTAGCAGAAGAGTCCTTTAAAACTCCATTTATTAAAGTTAAAGAAAACCTGTCACTCTAAAGAGACTATATTCAAGAGAGGGGAGACATAAAATGAGTAAATAATATACATTAGGCAGCAATTAGTGTTAAAGAGACACATTAAAGCAAGAGAGGGGAGGAAATCAGGGATCACTGCAATTTCAGGGAAGACCTCCCTAGGGGTGACGTAAGAGCAAAGGCTTGATGGAGGTGAAGGAAGGGCCTGTCATGAGAATACTCAAGGCAAAGAATAGCCCAGGCAGAAGGAGCCACAAGTGCAAAGGTCCTGAGGCAGGAGGGTGCTTGGTGTAATCCTAGGACATGAAGAGGCTGATTTGGCTGAAACAGAATGAAGGTTGGGAGAGTGGAAGTGGTGAGGTCAGGAAGTCAGGGGGCTGTGGTCACATCAGGTGGGGTCCCAAAGGTTATTATAAGGTCTAGAGTTTCACTAAGTGAGATGGGGAGCCCCAGTGAGTGGGTTTCCAGCCATGTCTTGAATATCTCTAAGTGAAGGAAACTCACTACCTTAGTGGTGAAGAGGTGTTAATTTGGGGTGGCCAGTAGGACTGTGTGCTATGGACTTGTCCCGAGAGGGGTGATGAAGGTCGTGACCAGAAGCCCCAGGGCTGGGGGAGGATGCTACTTCTTGATGGAGAACCCCTCCCCCATCTGCCTCACCTTCTTGTCCAGCTTCCTGCCTGCCAGACTCAGCGTGATGACTCGGTTGTCTGATAGCTCCTGGGCAGCGATCTGTAAGGCCAGAGGAATGCCAGGGGTCAAGATCTGTTCCCGAGACTCCCTCCAGCCCCTGTTTAGGCAGGGTGGACGTAGGTTGCCCCAGGAGTCAAATCTCCAGGGCTGGGAGGAGAGGGGAGGGGAAGGGTAGTGCTAGATGACATGGACAAGTCTCTTATCTTCCTAAAACCTCACTTTTCATCTTCTGGAAAAAGGGGTAATAACTCATCAGGATATGAGGAATCAGAAGTGACCCCAATGTGGCTCAAGAGAGGGGCCATGAGATGGCGGAGGGAGATGAAGCAGGAACCAAACACGGGGGGTGGTCTTGAGCATCTGGGAGAGGTTCTGGGTCAGAGAGCAGCCTGATAGGCCCCCTCATGCCCCCACTGCAGACCCAGAGAACAAACACTACCACCTTCAAACACCAAGGCATCGGAAATTCCAGCAACTTCACTGTGCAGCCAGGGAAACTGAGGCCCAGGGCAGGGATGGGACCACCTTAGCTCCCTCTGCTGTCTTGTCAGCTCACACTGGTCATCCATCCTCTGGGCCTTCTCCATCAGCCATGGCCCTGCAGGACCTCGAGGCTGCCATCTGCCTTCTCTCGGCCTCTCCCTCCCCCTTGCCCGCACAGTGGCAGGAAAAGCCCTCTGGCCAACAGAATCACAAGTGGGCTTCCTCCCCTCCCACACCTCTAGGATGGCCTCAGTCTAACAAGCTATTTGACCCTCAGAACCTCAGACAGAGGCCAGGCTGGAGGCCCCTTCTCCCCTTCTTCCACTGCAGCTGAGCCCTGCTCAACAGCCCTGTAGGGCAAACCATGTTACTGTCCCCATCTCAGAGGTCAAGGGAACCTAGGTCTAGAGGGACCTGCTGGGAATGCTGGGGGCGGCATACCCGCCTGGTGGGGTTCGTCTGGGTTGGTTGCCACGTGAAGGGCAGCTGGCTTACGGAGGCATTTAGATGGGGAGGTTTTGAACCCCAAGAGGTGGGAAGAGGTTGGGAGGGGACATTCCAGGTGGCAGAAACAGTGGATAAGGGCCTGGGGTAAGTGCAGGGTATGCTACGAACTCAGTTTGCCTTGAATGTACGCAGGCCACGTACATGAAGCGGGTAAAACCCAGCTGAGACTGCTGGGTCCCTCACAGCCTAGAATGCACGGCTCCACAGGCAGCAGGGAGCCAGGAAGTTTCCAGAGTAGGAGAGTAACCGCTGCTGAACACACACAGGGACGCCCCCGCTCCATCCAGCACAGCCCGCTCGCCTGGCGTCACACATACTCTGAGGGGGACAGTCCAGAAGGGAATCTCACTAGCTGAACCGCCCCAGGGCACTTCCTCTTTGGGCTTCAGTTCCCTCATCTGTGAAACCAGGTTTCCCCGCCTTCCAGGAGTCTGAGGACCCAAGAACTCATCAGCTCAAAGGGACTGTGCACCACAAGAATCACTGCGCATCGCAGGCATCGCTGTGCATCGCAAGAATCATTGCGCATCACAGGAATCACTGCGCATTGCAGCCGCAGAGCTCCGATGGGCAAGGCACTCCTGAAACGCCTGAAAGACCCCCCAAGGGAGGATAGGCTGGGGCCAGTGTCGGGAGGGGGTGCTGGGAGGCTTCCTGGGATGAGCAGGGGCGCCTCTACGGGGTGGGGGCGGGGAGGCCGCCATGGGGGCCCTGGCAGTTCCCCCAACCCCAGCTTGGCGGGCCCAACGCATCATATGTGGAGCCAGGAGCCCGTTGCTAAGAGACCTGTTGCTAAGTTGTAAGTTGGGCTTTTTACTCCAAACAAAGCTGGTGATTATCTGCCAGTGAAGCGGCCCATTGATGGGGAGGGCAGTGGGCAGCGCAGAGAGGGAGCGTGGGGGGGGTGGGGCTGGTACCGTAATCAAGCCCTTCCCCGCAGGCTTGTCATTCATCAGCAGCAGAGGCCGAGTGATCTTCTTGCTGGAGACGATCTGGAGGGAGAAAGGAGAGAGAGGCACTTGCTCTGTGAGGGTTGGTGGGGAGACCTAAGCAAGAAAAATCCTCAACAGGCACTGCTCACAGAAGATGCTCTATGCCAGGCGCTGCCTAACCTCCCCCTGCGTGATCCTCACCATGGGAGCAGACAGCAACCACTGTTAACCCCACTGGGCAGCTGAGGAGACTACGGTCTCCAGAGAGGTTAAGACACTTGCTCGAGGTCTCACAGCTGGGATGGAAGCCCAGCAGTCCGATGCCCACTGACCTGGCTGCCCCCTGGAAAAGGCTCTTGCAAGGTTCACATTCTGAAGGCCACTGCAGGGAGTTTAGCCCCCTGACCGCCTCCCCCAGAGCTATCCAGACCCCATTCTTCCATCAGGGATCACACCCTGACTCCTGTTGTTTTGAACAGTGAATACGTTCACACAGGGTTCAAGGATCAATACAAGGTAGGAGGGAAGAGTGAGACACATTGTAAAGTCACCCTCCCACAGTCTCTGTACACCCCATTCCCCACCCACCACCATTCTTAGTTTCTTGGGGAAAATGCCAGGGTTTCTTTGTGCTGCTGTGAGCATGTTCCTAGTCCCTCTATGGTGGCTTTTCTCCCCAGGCCCACTCTCTGCCTTTCTTTGTCTGCTCTGTGTCACTGTGGACTGCATCACCTGGCTTCCCCATCCTCTGGCTTGTGGGGGTTCAACTGATGGGGGTGCCAGCAGAAGCTAGGAGAGCAGGAGGAGAGAGAGGCAGGGCTGTGGCTTGGTGGAGGATTTGTTGTTCATCATCAGCCTTGGCTCCAGTCCGGAGGCCCCCCCGGGGTGGCCACAGCTCTCCCCAGGCCCCTGGCAAGACCACTTCCTGCCCTGCCCCTCTCTCCAGGTTAGGGGTAGCCCGGCTTCCCGCTGGTGTCAGGCCCTGTGTAGGTTTTTCTGCCCCTTGTTTGTTCCTGGCCCCTGGCCCCTGGTCCTTAAGCTCTCTCCTCAGTTACTCTTGGAGGGTATAGACACATGGCAGGGACCCTGACAGACGCACCCCACTTCTTACACAACTGTTGGGCCCTGGCTTTTTTCATTGAACATCATCTCCTGGAAGGCCCAAGGCACTTTGGTCTCCATTGGAACTTCTCAAAGCCTTTTCCATTTTATTTATCCACTGCCTTTTTCTAGGCTGGACAGTCCTTGAGTAAAAGATGGGGAAAGTGAGGTCCAGAAGGGTGTAGGTGCTTGCCCTAGGGCACACAATCATCAATAATGACTGTGTCAGGGGCTCCTCTATTAGCTCACCGAGAGCTGAGCCGGATAGGGAAGTGTGGCTCAGAGAGGGAAAGGAAGTTGCCCAAGGTCACAGAGTGAGCCGGCTGTGAAGTGGGACTACCATGGGTGTCGTGGTTGCTGATCGTACGCTTCTACCCCAGGAATTCAGACTGCACTTGCTTACTTCTAACAATCAGAAGCTCTGGCCACATGGGACCCCCACTCCTGGGTGGCAACAGCCGGCTGGTGCTGCGCTTAGTATCTTCCAGTGGGAGCATTTCAGCCTGGCCCCAGCCCCACCAGGATACTTCTTCCCTTTTGTGCCTGCTGGCTTCTAAGTCTGTCTGCATTTGTGATGCCACCTCGGAAGCCAGCCAGGGAAACTGAGCCAGGGAAAGCAGGCAGCAGGGACCCTCCCCATCCTTGGGAGCCGGGTGATGTGGGGAGCCGGTGTAGGTGCCTGTCCTGCCCCCGCCCACCCAGAGGGGGCCTGGCTCACCGTGCCCAGGCTGCAGGAGAACTGGCCCAGGAAATCATGCTCCTCAAGCTGCGTGCTGGACTTGTCCTGGTCAAACAGTGCAAACTTGAGCTTTTGCACCTCTTCAAAGTGGTAATCAAGGACAAATTTCTTGGAGAATGCGGGGTTGAGGTTGTTGATTGCAGTTTCTGTCCTGTCGTACTGGCAGAGGGGCAGGGAAACAAGAGTCAGAATTAAGCAGTTGGTTCAACCCTTCTCAGCTGCTGGAAATCATGGTGTTAATTTGCTGAGCACCCATCTCTGTGCTAGGCCCTCGGGGCCAGTTACCTGGGTGACTGAGGTAATCATTACTCCCAGCTCACAGATGAGGACATGGAAGCACAGAGAGGTTTAGTGACTTAGCCAAGGCTGAACAGCTAGAAGGCAGCGTCAAGATTTTAACCCACGTCTGACTCTAGCACTCACATTCTTCAGTCTCTGGCCTTAACTCCATACTTAAGTGCCAGGGTAAGGATGTGGTCCTTGTCTAGGCAGGTGACAGAGGGAAAGTCCTATTTCCCAGCTGGGCCTCAGTTTCCACTTCTGTGAAATGAAGGGATGTGACTGTCTGTGGTTTTCATCCTTTTTATTTAGGGAGAACCCTTTTTTCAAACTACACTTTACATGGAAGCTGAGAGAAGAAACAGAGAGAAAGAGGAGTATTTAGGGGAAGGTGGGTTCAGGGGTCCCCATCTCCCTGGGGGCAGATGTTGCTACCTTCATAGAACCCTGGAATGTCAAAACTGGGAATGAGTGGCCCCCGCTGTCCCACCGACTGTGGAAACCTGGGGAAAGACAGGGCCTTGTACTGTGGGTCACTGGTGGGGCTGCGATGGGAACCCCGCCTCTTGGCCTCTCTGCATGGAGGCCCCAAACCGCGGAGTCTGGGTGACAGTCTATTTTGGGGTTGTGTTGATTTTTCCTCCCACCCATCCCATTTCCAAGGGCCAGGGCAGCAGGGAAGGAAGAGGTCTTGGCCCCAGGCTATTTTTAGCCAGGGTGGCCAGCCTGGGTGGGAGAGAGATTGTCAGGGAGAGTGGGGGGAGTGCCATGGGTGGGGGTGGGTGCAGTGGGTGAGGACACCATTTCCTGAGGGATAGGTGGGGTTCAGGACATGCTGGCTCAGGCCTGGGGCTCCCCCGTGGAGTCCTCAGCGGGTCCCACAGCCCACCTCCCACTTCTGGCTGCATCACCAATATACTGGGTGAGACAGGAAAGTTCTTCCCCGCTCTGGGCCCCAGTTCCCCTCTGTGAAGTGGGTAAGCAATCCCAGCCCATTTCCTTGGCATCAGAAGAAGGAGCCAATGTCTGTGGAAAGTCTTTGTAAACTTCAGGATGCCCAATGAGGCCCAGTTAAATAACTATGTAAAATAGAAACATACTTTGGAAAATCTTCATGTATATAAAACTACCTGAAAGGCCGGATACCAAACTGTTAACAGTGGTTCTCCCTGAGAGGCCAGTTCCCAATCATTTTGATTTTTCTTCTGTAGATCTACCTGGGTTTTCTGAATTTACTACAATGAATATAGACCCCTTTTGGAATAGGAAACAAAGTCATTTTTAAACCCTGAAAGTCTTAACAGTTTGGATTTCTCAATATCCTTCCTTAAGCTGCATCCTTCCCCAACCCTCGAGCCAAAGTCTTTCAGCTCAGAAGTCCTTGGCTGTGGCTCTATCAACATCCCCAGCTCTCAGGCTCTCCAAGGCAGGCAGGGAAAAAAATCCTCATTTCAAAGATGAGGAGACAGACTCAGAGAAGGATAGCCACTTGCCCAGGGGCACATGGCAGGGAGTGACAGAGCTGGGTCTGGGCCTAGCTCTGGGACTAAAGTCTGAGTTCCCTGTTTCTCTGTTGGCTCCTCACTGACTGTGCTCATTTAGGAATAAGTGGGGAAAGTTATTTTAAAAATGGAAGCAAGCATTTTGCTAAACTCTAAGGTTTTAACTATATATTATAGTAACTTAAAATATAATGATATAAAACATTAATATAAAATTACATAAATATATGAAATAATAATTTAAACACAAATATAATTATTTTAAGTAACATTATAAACATTTTAAATAAAATTTAATTTTAAGAGTAACAATTTTCTACATAATCCCCAGTCCATACTCCAAATACTTCCAACGGCCTGACCCCAGGTCCCTGGGATCCAGTGGGAGTCCCTCCCCAGCCCCTAGCCACCTTCCACCCATCGCAGCCGCACACAGGAGGGGGCTCTCACCTCGATCCACCTGCCTTCATTCTCTGTGAAGAGGACACAGAAGGGGTCGGACTTGGAGGTGACATCCCGGTCCAGCAAGTTCTGGCCACTCACCGATAGCTCCACCTTGCACACGCAGTACTGGGAGCCCAGGGGGGCTACCCCCGATGCTGGGGCACCCCCACCCGGAATGTAGGCCATGGGGGTTGGCAATGGCGGCAGCAGTTCCTCGCAGTCTAGGAGGACAGCACTGAGGGTCAGAGAGGGGACAGACATCTGCCAGACAGACGCCTGGGGAGATGTCACCTCCTGACCCTCAAGACGTTGGTAGAGAGATGGAAGGAAAGGTGTGTGTAGGGGTGGGGAGGAATGGGATGGAATAACAGGCTCAAAAGATTGGAGAAAGGAGAATGCAGGAAAGGCACGGAAAAGGAGTCTCTTGTCATGTGTTCAGTTTGTCTTTGAAGTTATTCTCTGCTTTGGTCAATCTTTGTGTGATACACACAGATTCAAGTTGCCTCTGTCAGATCAGCAACAAATCACAGTGGACACAGGCATCCCATTCATTTTTGCCAGAAAAACCGGGGCTTCTCCTGAGCAACTGACATATTCACATCTTGTGGCTACAATGGAGCCTATAAATGCTCAGCTTTCCCTCACTGCTTTGGCCACTAGGAATCTCACTTCTGGTCACTTATCCAAAACTTGGCTTTGTTCATTGTCTGCTTGGTCACCCTGTATCACCAGCTTAAGCACAGTGACTGGTGCACAGGAGGCACTCAGTATACATTTGTTGAATAAAAAAGGTAAGTGTATAAATCAATGAGTGGACAAATCCTCCATATCGCTCAGATCCTGCCTGAGTTGGTCCTTATGCTCAATGTTGAATCTACCCTGTCACTTGTACACGACTTAACAAAATTCCATGCATTGGGCCTTACGTACCTCCTCCAATGTCAAGGCTAATTACTGACATTTGCTTACTTTAAGCAGATGTGTTTTCCTCCAAGTGCAAAGTGTTCATTTGGAGCAAGTATGGAGGAACCCATCTCAAGGGGCGGAGAGGAGCTCTGTCTGGGTCCCACCCATAACAGGCCCTGTACACAAGCCAGCTGGCTCTCTGTACTTAATCTCCCTCATCTGCCCCCAAGACATCATGACACAGTCCTCCAAGGCTCCTGTGGCCAGATCTTCTCTCCACTGGCACATCTGAAGTTAACATAGGCCCACATCTGTGTGGACGAGTCCAGTCCCAAACACTTATGTACAAAGGCCAGGTTCCAACTCCTTGACTAATATCTCATCCCTTCACTATTGAGTGGGTAACTGGCCCTGCACTGCCCCAAAGGAGGGAGGGGAGAAGAGGGCATTCCTTCTGGGACCACAAACTCACCTGACCACATTGACAAGCCCTGACTGTGAGCTGAGCACGTCACCTGCATGATGTTGCTAATCCTTATCCAGTCTGACGAGGTAGGTCCTAATATCACCCCATTTTCCAGACAAGGACACTGAGGCTCATTCATTCACTCTAGAGTATTTACCGAACATCTACTAAGTCCCAAGAACTGCGCCAGGGCAGGGACCCTGCAGTGAGGAGACTGCCCAGCCCTAGCCCTCTTAGAGCTCAGTTCCACCTGGCTGAGAGTATGGGAGGGCAGCCAGGTCCCGAGGGCTGAAGGCTCTGAGAGGGAGTTGGGGCTTTATTCTAAGAGTGATGGAAGTCTCGGAGAGTTTTAAGCAGCGAGGTGGCATGATCTGATTTCTGTTTTTAAAAACTCACTCCAGCCCCTGTGGGGAGACGGGGTTGTTAGACTAAAGAGAGGCAGCAGGGAGGCTGGCGAGGAGGCAGCTGTCATCCAAGCGGGAAGGACTGAGCCACAGTGGCAGTGCTGGGCCCACTTCCCCTCCCTCTGACCCAGCCACAGCCTACTCCCTGAGTGCCAGCCTCTCGCTGGGCAGATGAAGACCCCGTCTGCAGGAGGCCTGGGCGAGCGTGGGTCCTGCAGCCAGAGTCCCCTCTCTGGCTCCTGACCCAGGGTCCCGGGAATGCCTGGAAGGGGGAGGATCTGGACAGTGACAGAGCCAGTGCTCAGCCCCCTCCCTCCCACCGTCTGTCCCTAGAACCTCATTATAATCACAGGAGCCCAGAGCATCAGGAAGGCACTGCAATTTGCCTGCAGGATTTATTCCTGTCGTGTAAAAATTAGTTTCCATTGGAGGGGCTGGAGAGCTGTACTGCCTCTCACTGTGTGCAGCTGGGTGGCCGTGCCAGGTGGGGGAGGGGCGAGCAAGTCCTCGACCCGGAGAGGACAAGGCAGGACAGGGATGTCCAAAATGGACATCTTGCCGGATGGCTGAGAGAACACCTGTTTATGCTTACAACTACCCAGAGGTGGGATAGGCGACAACGGTCACCCCCATTTTACAGATAAGGAAACTGAGGCTCAGAACAGAAGTTACCTGTCCAAGGTCACACAGCCAGGAAACAGCAGAGGCAGGGTGTGAGCCAAGTCTCCAGACTCCCAGGCCAATGTGTGGCTAGGGTTTGGGGACTGCTGGGCATGGTGGGGCCCTAGAACCTGGTGGGGGCACCTTGGGAGTCAGCCAGGCCAAAGGGAGCCTGAGTCTCAGAGGGCCCCAGAGCACCCAACATCACCCTGTCCACACCCCTGTCTCTCCAATCATCACTGATGGGGTGGAATCCAGCTTATCCACCTCCTCTCCACCTCACTGGCCCCCTTCATGACATGCTAGATGCCACCTGGACCACCATCCCCCCTGCTGCCATGTCAGAGACCTCTGGTTTCATCCTGAGGCGTGTCAGGTACACACGCCCAGATTCACACACTTCCTTGTGTGTGGACACACAGATACACATGGACACATGAGCCCCCAGACCAACAGACGTAAGGCAAGCGCTCATATGAACACTCTGGGGCCACTTCTTCCCCACCCTCCCCGTGAGCTCAGCCACCATCATCACTTGCCTTGGTTACTGCACTGTCCTCCTGACCCTCACTGGCTCCTGGCCAGGATGCCCAAGGTCCCAGGGGAGGGTCAGGCTGGGCGGGGTTCTTCAGAGCCCACCTCAGCTCCACCTGGATCAGGGCTCCACCTGGATCAGCTCACTGGCCCCAGCTAGCTTCAGCAATGGGTAGGTGGGCGGGGAAGGGGCACTCCTTCCCCAGCTAGGGGCAGGTCCCCCATCCCCAACTCACCCTCTGGTTGGAAGCTTCTGGATCCCCGAAACGGGGAGCACATGATGTCTGGAGTTAGGGCAGGCGGGGGTCAGAGTGGGCCCCTCTGTGCCAGCCGGCAGCGGGCAGGCGGGCCGGACCCTGAGGCCTGACGCAATGGAAAAAGAAACCACAGCTTAGGCTGGGCCGGGCCCCCTCCCCTCCTACTCCAGCAAGAGGGCAGGCTGGCAAGGTGTCATTAAGGGAGGGTTGGGCCTGCCATGCGCATCTGGGCAAGATGGAAATGCTCTCTTGTTCCCTCGTGCAGCACCCGCTGCCCCCCCCCCCGGTAATTTGAGGTTTCAGGCTGGAGAAGGGGCCTGCAGCACTGGGCCTACTCAAGGATGGTCCTGACGCCTGGCCCAGATGGACACAGGCCTTCTGGGGTGACCAATGCCCCAGGGAAAGAACTGGAAGGCAGGGATACAAAACTAGTAGTTCCTTTCACAGATGGGTTAACTGAGGCAAAGAGAGTGCAGGGCTTGGGAACTCACATTCATTCGTCCATCCACCCATTCAACAAATATTCCTTGAGCACCCTCAGGCTACAATGAACAAGTCAGAGGCTTCAGCCCCCACAGGGTCCACTGGCACCAGATCCTAAAGCATCCTTCAGGCAGAAGGATTTGGAGACTGGTGCTGAGCCACAGGTCCAGAACAGTTTTAGCCAGAAACCTAGGAACCCATCATCCTTGACTTTGCTCTTTCCTTCACCCCCTATATCCCACTGCTGCTAATTCCACCTTCAAGTTGCATCCAGTATCATCCCCATCTCTCCACTTCCACTGGCCAGGCCCCCATCACCTCATGCCCAGCCATGCAATGGCCCATGTCAGGTCTCCCTGAGCAACCCCAGCCCCTAGACTCTCTCTTTTCCACATTGGAGCCAGAGGGAGTCTTTAAACATGCAGATCAGATGCCACCACAGCTCTACCTGAAAATCTTCCAGTGACTTCCCCTTACAGGTCACACAATCCAAATTCTCCCCAGGACAACAGGGCCTTACCTGACCCCACCTCATGTCACATGTCCCCTCACTCCCTGCACCCAGCTACACTGCCCTCCTTTTGCTCTGTGAATATGCGAACCTCTGTCTTGCCTCAGGGCCTTTGCACTTGCTGTTCTACCTGCCAGAAATGCTTTTCTTCACATGACAGGTCTTAGTTGTCAGTTTAACGTTACCTCCTCAGAGGCCTTCCCTGGTCAGGGAAGCTAATGTAATCTCAGTCCCACAGTTTTCCTCACAGATCAATGCAATGTACAACCATTCACTAATTTGTCTATTTGCCTTATGTCTGTCTGTCCCTCTAGAATGTAAGTTCCACAAGGGTGGAATCCCCACTGTTTCCCCAGCACCTAGAGCAGCACCTGTGCACAGTGAGTGCTGAATAAATATGTGCCAAATGAACGAGGGAAGGAAGCAACCAGGCACTCTCTTCAGTCTGCAGCCCCAGAGGAATCACAAGCACCTCCCTGCTGCACACATCACTTGAGAGATCACAAAGCCCCTTCTCAATCCCTGGACCCTCATAACTTGTACAAGAGGCCAGCACTAGAGGGTTTAGTGTCCCACTTCACAGGGATGGAAACTGAAGCCCAAGAAGGGGCAGGGGTGCTTCTAAGCAAGGGAAGAACAGTGCTTAAGCTAAGAGCGAGGGCTGCTGGACTCCATCTTTCCCGCCCACTCACTGGCCCCAGCGGCTCAGGACCCAGGAGCTGGGTTGTGAACACCACCCACTGTTGGGAGGAGATGCTGAAGTGGCCTGAAGGGCCCCAAATTAGAGATAGGCAGTGAAAGGAGACCCCAAGAGAGGCAGGCACAGAGGCCGGGGGAGGCAACCGACTGAGGTGGCGATCTGGAGACCCAGGTCAGGGAGAGAGGGATGAGAGGTGCAGGGCAAGGCTGAGGCGCCCAGGGAGG